CGGGCTGACGGTTCCCACGCGTGAACTCTCCCGGCTGCCTCCCGATTGGTGGGAACCGCCTCCGATCAAAACCCCGGTTGGCACTGCTTATGCCCACACCCAGGAAATGCTGGACGCGTGTGGAAACGCGGGTTCAGCAAAGCCCGGCTCCCACTTCGTCACGCGCCGCCCGGCTCCTAGGACTCTGTCCGGCTCGGGCTCCAGCACCGGGGACCTGTGCGTCTCTTTCCCCGGGAAGCACAACTTCTGACTTCTTCCTGCCCATCTCTCAATTAACACTTGAAACAAGCACCTTTTAACTCTTCGAAAACTAAAACGATGGTTAGCGAAGGAGAAAACGTTTTTAGGAATCAACATTTCTGTTATCTTATTTTTGCCATTCAATAGATTTGAAAACACTTTCTCCTGGAAACCAAGAATGCTTATGAAGTTCATTCCATTTCAAGCTTATTTTTTTAAATAAAAAACAACAACTAGAAATACTTCTAGATAAACTATAGAAGCAGACAATTGGATTTTAAATGCTCCATCATTTTTCACACTCAACGAGCAGAAATCAAGTTTCTTTGTGACATGTATTCCCCACTGCCCTAGAAAACTAAGAACAAAATTTTAAGATGTCAACCATACCTAAAGTTACTGTGTAGAGAGTTTGTATAATAGTTAAGCATTCCTAGAACTAATTTATGCTTTTCTGAACTCAATGACCCCACTCCCAACCAACCAATGTATAGCTAGAGAGATTTTTTTCTACTTCGGAAACAATATAATGTAGCATTTACCTCTGCAGCGCTGGGAACAACTCTCTTTGCCTGTTATTGCTGGCAGAGAATGCTTATGAATGCATCAGCATTTGAAAGTAACTCGTTAAAGACCTTTTTAGCATCTTTGGTTATAATGAGGACTATTAGCATCTGCTCTCATGGTAAGAAAATGAATAATTAATAATTGGGGGGGGGGCGGACGATATTTCTCCTTACCATCTTTTGAAACTCTTAATCTCTAAATACACCCATTGTCATGTTTCGTTAGAGACAATTTTTGTAATCCACAAAAGGATTTGTTCTAGTAAAAATATTTTCCTGTGCAAGATCTGAGAAGCCCCAAGGCAATTCCTACATAATGATTTCCTTTAATTGTGTGGTTCTATTATAATACTTCAATTTAGCTTAAAAAAACACCTCCTCTTATGAAGATTAAGTGAAATTGTTTCTTTGAACATATTTTGAGTGAAATGCCAGAAGAGAAGTGATGATCACTCCGCAGGGCCTCTGGGTCTGCCCGTCCACCACCCTGGGCCCACCTCACTGGGAAGATGAACTGGGGCCCCTCCACTAAGAGGCTCACAGCCTGGGCTCCAAGACAAACCTTTTGGATCACACCCAGGGCGCTTGAGAGAAGGTTGCCCCCAGGACAGGCCACGTGTGACATCTTCACCGATTACCTCTGCAGCTTCCAAAATTCATCCAGGGAGGGGACAGCGCCAGAAGGTTTGGGGGGCAGAGTGAAAGACAGGCCTGTTGTCTGCACCCACCAGCTTTCTGCCTAAGGACTCAGTAAACCTCCATCAAGCAGGACGATGGCCCAGTGGACAAACAGGAGACAGAGCTTAGACCTCTTCTTCTGGGGCCTTGTCTCCTCACCTGTGAATGAATGAGGTGCTTGGACGAGATCCCCATCCCTTCTCCATCTAAAATCATGTGGTTCTGAGGAGCTAACAACGAGTGAGTTATTTCCAATTTCGAAATGGCACTTGGGTCTACTGCCCTGTGACTGAATTTTTCTATGGTTCCTGAATTTGCAGTTCTTAGGAAAATGCTCTTTGATGAGCTATAATTAACATATAACCACCACTGGCATTAAAGCTCAGAATGGCCTGTCTTCTAATTTCATCTTATTAGGACCAGATGCCCCAAATGACCACTGCTACTGACCTGACTTGCCACCTGGACCAGGCTTTGGTACCATTTGGAACACTAAAATAAAAATCATTGCTCTCAACTCATGAGACTGAGAAATACCTATTTTCTAGAAAACATTCTTCAGGAAGCTCATTGTCTTCCTTTCACACTTTCTTTCTTCACGGCAAAGAAGGCATGCATGAAATGGGTAAACAGAGGCAGACACTCTCCAGATGGCTCGTCCAGGCACTCCAACCACCCAACCTTATGAAGCAGTCACAAGACATAAAACCAGTGTGAAAGAATTCTCTCTCCCTCCCCCTCTTTCTACTTTCAAAATTTCCCTAATAATTTCAACACACTGATGATGTTTAGAAATAACCATGGTCAGAGTTTAAAAGTTTTAGTTTGAATTCTTTGAGGAGGGAAAAAAAAGCATCTTATTGGAAGAACCCAAAGCCAGGATAATAAAGCACAATCTAAGTTTTCTACCTGTTTTAGTCAACAAACTAAAGCTACTTCAAAAATATGGCAGGTGGCTTCGGCTGCTCCTTCTCTTAATATTCACAGAATCCTTAACTTCTGTTCTTGTACTTTTTGATGTTTAAACAGTGTCGGCTGGAACAGAGCTGTATAGTTCCCAGAGTTTTTTTTCCTTTCTAAGAAATTTATTGGGCGTGACACTGGTTAACAAAATTATACAGGTTTCTGATGCACAATTCTACAACATATCATCTGTACACTGTATTGTGTGTTCCCCACCCCAAGTCGAGTCATTTCCTAATATGTATCACAAATAGTTAATATTGTGGTTATCACAAAAAATCATATTTAGAAGCAGAATGTGCTAATAAATAATGCTTAGTCCTGTGGGTTAAAGGCAGCAACGTCATTCCATTTGGAAGACATCAACTTGTCCATTTTAATTAAGAAGCCATGTTTTTCAACATTTTCCCTTCCCTTCCCAATGCACAGTCACTTTTATAGACTCCTTTTATACTGTGGAAATAACTTGTGAAGAATTACAAAGTAAAGTTGAACACAGACTAAGAAATCAGAGAACCAATCATCTAGAAACATTAAGCCAAAACCACCACCCTTTCAAGACCTGAACTTTCTCAATTACTGAATGACGTGCCTCCTTTTTTATCACCAGATGAAACCCCTCATCCATCTATAATACTGAAGCTGAATCTTCTCTTTTCAGCCATCACTCCAAGCTGTAAATAAAATCATCTTTTTTCCAACAACACTATCACTTTGTATATTCATGGAAACCATGGGCTTTTCCTAATAACATTTAAACAATGATTCCAGTATCCAAGGCGTTATTTTTGCTTATACTTTCCTTTGGCTGGAGTAGGTCTTCAAATGGCATTTAATAAAAAATCAATAAATAAATCCTTGCCCTAGGTTACCATTCCTTTGCCTTAATTTTCCACACGTTGGGTAAACCATTTACCTCTTTTGAGCAACCTCTTTAAACCTTGTTTCTTGTGCCACATAGACTCTACTGGACTAGAGAGCAGGAAACAAATGTTGGAATGAGTGTAGAGGTGCCAGAGAAGCCAACCCTTACCTTCCAGTGACTTTATGGGTACCGATGAAGGCATAACGTCTACCCCAGAGGCTCTCATAAGTGTGCGAGGCACATTGGTGGGGCTGCACCACATTCTGCCAATTGAGGGTGTACCAGCAATATCCTGCAGGGGGCACTGTGACCTGAACAAGTCTGGAGGGAAGAGTCGGGGTGGGCAATTTCATACCCAAAGAGTTTTGGCTGACATGAGGTGGACCAAGAAAGACAGCAATGGGAATGGGGGGAAACTTCACCTCAGTTGAGTAGGATCGGGCAGCCTCAAGCTCTTTGCTCAGAGCTGTGTGTAGGACAGTGGACAAGTGTGCCTGCCCTCATCTCAAACAGGCTGATGCTGGACTCCGGGCCCTCTGAAAACTGAGGAACACGGAGATGGGCTTGTAGCTCAGGCCTGAGAGGTTCAATGGCA